TTGTTTTTACAACTACAGAATAATCATTGATCGAGGCAAAGATCGTTCACGGGTGCGAAGGCAGAGCCATCAGGCGAAAGGTCTGGGAACGGGGTTCAGACCGAGGCAAAGTATCGCCCACAGATTGCCTCCTCACTGGGAAGAGGACAAAGTGCCTCCCAGGGGGCTGTCTGGTGAGTCGGCCTGAGGTCGCGTGCACCCCCCAGGAGGCAGGATCGCGTACACAGTCACCCACAAAGTCTTCCTGCTACAAACGTGGAGCTTGTGTCTAAATTGAGATTCTCGGCCTAGCTTCCAGTTTACAGAGAATCCAGGAGCTAAACAAGCAGGGGACAGGAACGGGTGGCAGTGGGCAGCTCCAGAATCAAGCACGTTCCTTGAAGTCAACGTCCTGAACCACTTGAGGAGCCAATGACATAGAAAAAAGTGGAAGCCAAAGATCTTACATATTTTTAGTATTTATTTTTGAGAGAGCACAAGAAGGGGAGGGGCAGAGAGAGGGGGACACAGGATCCAAAGCAGGCTCTGTGCTGACAGCAGCGAGCCCAATTCCGGGCTTGAACCCATGAACCACAAGATCATGACCTGAGGCAAAGTCAAACGTTCAACTTACTGAGCCGCCCAGGTGTCCCTAAAGAGTTAAAAAAAAAAAAAAAATACATTTATGGTGTATAATTATAATCTCCATACAATTATTTTTTTAATGTTTACTTGTTGAAAAAGAGTGGGTGCATGCATGCTCCTGAGAGCAGGGGAGGGGCAGAGAGAGAGAATGCCAAGCAGGCTCCATGCTGCCAGCACAGAGCTCCACATGGGGCTCGACCTCAGGAACAGTGAGATCATGACCTGAACCAAGATCAAGAGTTGGATGCTTATCTGAGCCACCCAGGTGCCCCCTCCATAGTTATGTTAATAATAGAAGTGACAGGGGCGCCTGGGTGGCGCAGTCGGTTAAGCATCTGACTTCAGCCAGGTCACGATCTCGCGGTCCGTGAGTTCGAGCCCCGCGTCGGGCTCTGGGCTGATGGCTCAGAGCCTGGAGCCTGTTTCTGATTCTGTGTCTCCCTCTCTCTCTGCCCCTCCCCCGTTCATGCTCTGTCTCTCTCTGTCCCAAAAAAATAAACGTTAAAAAAAAAAAAAATTAAAAAAAAAATAACAGAAGTGACAGTGCGAAGATCACCTGATGGCTCTCTCCGGCTCTCTCCTGCCTGGCGACAGCCTGAAACAGCCGGAAACCAATGCACAGAGCAGGGGAAGCGCGGCCTTTGCACTTGCAAGTTCTTGGCTTGGGCCTTTCTTTCCCTCACTTGGTAAACTCTCCAGGAAAGCCACTCAGGACCGATGAGGTCTCATTACACATGCTAACACCACGTTACCAACTCTTGGCAGCTGGCCTGCCTGCCCCTTGGAAAGCTAAGTCGGGCACCACTCTACTTTGGTTACCTTTTTTTCCAGTACCCAGCGCGGCGCATCGGTGTCAGACACTCGGCGGCGGAATACACACAATCAGTGACTAGGCAGGTGTGATCGCGTGCTCGAGGACAACTCTAAGTGAGGTTGGGTTGATGAAAGTCTATCACCACCTGGACACAAGCCATCCATGGACATTAAAGGTCACTGCAGTCACCCAGGAAGCAGGGGAAACGGGACACACCCAGAGGCACAAGCATTTGGTGAAGGAAGCAGCCAGCAGCCCGACAAATTACAAACATTCTCACACCATCAGGACAGAAATGGCTCTGGGTCAAGAGCCCCGGTGGGGAGGGGCCCTGCAGGGAGAGGAGGGTGCCCCTCAGCCTGTGCAACTAGCTCTGGTCACCAGTTTGCAGCCCAGTTAAAGGGGGAAGGGCCTCTCCTTTGCCAAATCTTACAGCTTGTGACCGTTAGATCTGTGTGACTGAGTGACTGTGGGACCTTGAGGGGGCCAGGAGGGGATCACTGTTCGGGGAGAGCAAGGACCGTGGGTCACAGTACCAGGCACCCCCACAGGCCAGGGTCTACCAGACTTTGTCAACAATTCCAGAATTGGACTTTACTGCACACCTTTTGCCCCGATTCTATACCCCCAGACTAAAGTGGATCCGAAGACCCTTCCCCAGAGCCTGAGGCCCAACACTGTTTTCCCTGCTGATAAACAGCACAATTAGCATCTCCTAACACCCTTTTCAAACTTCATCAAAACCAAGAAATAATGGGGTCTTAGAAGAGCGAGTGGCGCACTCATTCTCCAGTGTTAGAGGGATTCTCCACTTACTGTGGTGCCAGTCCACGTGCCAAATGCAAATTTGTCCCCGCTCCCCTTAAAGGAGCACCTGTCCTGCCTGCCCGTGGTCACCACCTCCCTCCCAAAATCCTGGCTCTTTCCTTCCTTGCCCCCACCCACATCTTCAACACCCCCCACACCCCAGGACCTTTGGGCCAGGGAAGCAGAAATGGCAGCTGTGGAATCCAGCAAACTGCAGTGTTGCCAAAAATGCGAGCTGCAGGACCCCCGCGCCACACAAGGACAGACAAGTGTTGTTTAGCTTTTATTTCATGATCATAAACTTCACTCTGCAATCCAGCTAAACTTGGAGGGGAGTAAGTAGGACACAGGACCCGTGGAACTGCGGCAGGAACACAGGGACTCTAGATTTCGAGCAGATGGGGGCAGAAGGGCGCTCTCCCGAGCTACAGAAGGAATGGTCTGGTAGTTAAGATAAAACACGAGTCAAATTTATTAGATTTGTCCACAGTCAGCAATGGTGATTTTCTTGCTGGTCTTGCCGTTCCGGGACCCAAAGCGCTCCATGGCTTGCACGATGTTCATGCCTTCCTTCACCATGCCAAACACCACGTGCTTGCCATCCAACCTGGAAACGAGATTGAGCGTCAGCACTGGTGCCCAGGGGCCACTGACCCTGCGCCGCACCCCGAGAACAGAGACCCACAGAGCAGTACTGCACCCCCGGAAGAACAGCTGGAGGCCGGGTTACACAGTCGTCAGTACCAGTTAATGTGGATCAACACTGAACACCTCATCCTTCTAACAGAAACGGCAACACTATAGGTCACCAGGAGTCAGAAGATTCTCCAACTCCTGTCAGAACTCCCGAATTTACAATGGACCCCTAAAAAAGGGCCAACACCCACAGGCCAAGGAGACCTAAGTACTACTCTTTTGTAGTTTGTGTTCACTTGCTTTTTAAATCTATTGTTGTTAATTACCTCCACCCCCAAACTGGACACAAAGGGGTGCATGCTCTGCAGACCGAGCCGGTGGGCACCCCACAAGTACTGGTCTTAACTACTCAGCTCAGCGCCCCATTGTGCTATGCTCTGTATCTTGCTTTCTCCACGGACCCCCGTTTCGGCTTTCTCACATCCTCCCACACTAGAAACAAGGCCAGGCTGAAGCGGGCAGCGCTCCTTGCTGCAGGGATCTGCCCTTACCACTCGGTCTTGGCGGTGCAGATGAAAAACTGGGAACCGTTCGTGTTGGGTCCGGCGTTCGCCATGGACAGGATGCCAGGACCTGTGTGCTTCAGGATGAAATTCTCGTCGTCAAACTTCTCCCCGTAGATGGACTTGCCTCCAGTGCCATTATGGCGTGTGAAGTCACCACCCTGTGGAGTGAGCAAAACCTTCTCACTTCTGGCAACAGCGTCAGAAAACAAGCCAAGTCTGCAGAGACCTAGCTTCAAACTCAAGTTTAAATGGACTAGAAGGTGAAGCCGGACCAGACTGGCAGAAAACAGCTCCCATGCACTCATGCTGCGTTCTCCTAGCTCTAGCTCTAGCTCAAGCTCAATGACCATCACCCAAACCAGAGTCCATGAATTTCATACCTGGCACATAAATCCTGGGATAATCCTGTGAAAGCAGGAACCTTTGTAACCAAATCCTTTCTCCCCAGTGCTGAGAGCACGAAAATTCTCTATTAAGAGACAAAAACATTGGTCACACACACAACTAAAATCCGAACAGGTAACAGTGAATTAGACAAGAGAACTAACCTGCTGTCTTGGGAACTTTGTCTGCAAACAGCTGTAAGACAAGACGGAGCGTTACTTCACCACACCTGCCCCCCACTGCGGCTCACGGAGTCTCGGGGGGGGGGGGGGGGGG